ACGCCACGGGGGACCAGGGCTGGAGCCGTCTGTCCCTGAAGGACAGCACCCATGGGGGGACCCAGGCTGGCGCAGTTTGTGAAGTCCCCTCAGACTGCTTCTGCATTTGCCCCTCTGGACAGTTGTCTGTGTGCAACACAGACATCTCAGTGTTGTCCTAATGTGAAATCTCTGCAGCTGATGATGGGGACAAGACACGTAACCACCGTCCTTCCCCAGCCCCACTGCCAGGCAGGGAAGCCCCTCTGGGATGGGTCTCTTCCTCCAGAGCATGGGGCTGAAGGGAGGTGGCTGCTGGGGAGCCGGGGTGGGCACCTGTGTTGAGGCAGTGGTGTCAAACCGGGATGAGCACAGCTGCCTGCCATGTGTGGCAAGTGTAGCATGCCCTCCTGCTCATGGCGGGGACAGCAGTGTCCCCTCTCCCCACGCTGCCCTGGGTGCCCACATGCACCTCCAATACTGGAGGAGTCTTTTCCATCTGGGAAAATAGTGGCTGAGGAAGCCATCAGTTTAAAGGCTGAAGCTGCCCATTGCTTGGTGGCCTTTCTATAGTGGCTTTTCTGTACCTTTGCCATCACCTGAAGCTATTTTATTTAGCACTGGTGCTCAAACTCAAGGCTGTGTGGCTTTGCCTGAAGCCGGGTCACACGCAAGCAGGCCCGTCTGGCTGCCCGACACAGCCCTGCCCGCCCCTCACAGCTGCATCACCTGGGGCTCGCTGCGGATCACGTGCTCGCCCAGCCCAGCAGCAGGCTCTGTGGGGGCGAACCTGGGGCTCTGGGTTCTAAAAGTGCCTTTTTGTGCCAGCAGAGCTGAGGTGACGGCCTCTCTCCCATGGGGAGGGAGTGAAGCCATGCCGCTGCCTGCAGCAGTCGCCAAGCACAGGCCAATGCTGAGCCACTGGCCTGCACTGCATGTGGCTGGTGTGCAAAAAATAAAGTAATTATGTAAAAAAAGGTAATTTTTCTCATTCCTGAGCTATTTTTCTGAACAGGGAAAAAGTCACCCTGCTCCTCCACAGGGTCCTTGGCTGAGCCCCTGGAAAGGCTCTGGCAACAGCAGTGAGCCGGCAGCCTGGGGTGCCCACCAGCGCCCAGGGGAGCCAGGCTGAGCCCAAGTGGCTGTTGTGGTGCCTTTTGTTTGAAGCATGTGGGGGAGAAGCCCCCTGAGGCTCACCTTGCTGGAGGGGAGCCTTGGCTGTAACTGGAGCCCCCCAAAAATGAGAAAATAGCGCTGTGCTGAGATCCTCCACAGCACCCAGAGAGAGGAGAGGTCAGATCCATGTTCTGCCCATGTACCCTGGCTCACTCCTGTCCAGCCCGGTGGGCTGAACCCTGGAGAGTGCAGGGGACAGGACTTGCAGTCCCTGGCTGTGCCCACGCTGGCCTCACTACCCAAGCCATGCAGCTACATGACCCAAAAGCCAGGATAAGTGACAGGGTGGCAGCTGCTCTGGCAGAGCCAGAGCCTGTGCCCTTCCTTCCCTCACTGCCCGGTGCCCGGTCTGACACCTCCTCACTGTCTCCCAGAGGTTCTGATTTACTTTGTTTTTAAAGAACACCGAAAAGTCTTGTTGCAGCCATAAACACAGCAGTTTCGCAGCCTCAGCAACCTCCTTCCAAGTCCCCATTCGGAGACTGAGCCCACCACCTTGTAGACAAAGTGCATCCCAGAGCCGCTGGCAGGGGTGGGTGGGGAGCAGCCTTCTTGGGGAGAGACCTGGAACATGAGCAGATGATGAAGAGGAGGCAGATGGGGCAGGTGCTCAGAGCCGAGACGTTTGACTTGGCTTTGAACCAACATGACTGGAGATGCCCTCTCAGCAGGGGAGATGGGCAACCTTTGGGCAATGTTTTGGGCTGTAACTAAGGCAAGAGGGGTGTTTTGCAGGCAAGAGGGCTGCAGCAAACTGGCTCCACTCACCCACTGTCCCAGTCTGCTCCTGGCCACCTGATCATGGTTTGTCCCAGAGCAAACACCCGCAGAGCCTGTGCCCAGCCCTGCCATCCAGCCCCCTGAGCTACCAAATAAGCCTGGAGCTGGGCCTCAGCACAAAGGTGAAACCACCTCTCCTGGCTGCCAGGGGAGGTGCTGAGCTACCGCACAGTATCATGTGAGGCATCAGAGAAGGAAGTCTCTGACTTTGGAAGCCTGGCTCAGACGTATTCATGTATCTCAACCACTTCCCCTTCAACACCCCAGATGTCTTATCACGGCTGCACCCTGGTTTGCCTCTGTAGGAGGTCTGACACTACTCACCCTGTCCCTGAGCCAGGGAAAGCCTTCCCTTTGACTTGGAGGGACTTTGGGGCACAAGACCCAACCCCAGGCTTCAGAGACAGCTCTGGTCACCATGTCCAGCACAGACCAGCACAGAAGTTCTGTCTCATTTATAAGACTCTCTGGGGCAGGGAATGTTTTTGCACCAGTCACTAAAACAAGAAAAAACCCAAAGGCACAGCCAGATACAAATCTCAATAATACCTAGGGCTGAATGACTGAAAGGTCACCAAGCATCTTCTTAACGTCACAGAGAACCAATCCTGGCTGCATAATCCCAAGGTACCATCCACCTCTCCAGGCACAGTTTGGATTCCCATGTAATAATCGGGCGGGATTTATTCTTAAGCCTATGTACACCAACCTCCGTTCTCCTGTTAGCGCTGCCTTCCTCATCCTTTTTTTCTTCAGGCATGGGAGCAAGCGGGAAGCCTCCTTCACTGCTGTCCTCCTTTGAGTGGTGCTTCCATGACCTTCTCACATCTTCCTCTGGACTACTAAAGTCATACTTGCGGGACCTGAATGCCATTTTCATGGACCTATCTGGGTCTTCCTCACTATCATTTTCCTCCATGCGCTTCTTTGACGTCAGCTGCTTGGCCAGCTCATCCATTTTGTTCCACCTCTTGGAGTCTTCCCACTCCCTGGACGACTCGTCCTCCATCTCCTCGCTTTTGGCATCCCTGGGCTGGAAGGTATCCTCTTCCCCCTGCAACCCCTCATCCTCCAGGCGATGCCTTCCTCCTCTCAGTGCCCGGGTCTGCTCTTCCTCCTCCTCCTCCTCAGAGCTCTGCTCATCTTTGCCAAATCCCAGAACATCATCATTATCTGAAAGAACATTAAACATAACAGTGAGCACATGCGTTAACCTGGTTATGCTCCACCTTTGGACTGAACCTCCAGGGGCAATGCAAGGTGGGTTTCCTGACTTACATCCATTTTCTCAGGATTCTGGAAATACCCACTCTCACATCACCATGTCAGTAACAGGGCTTGGAGGCAGCAGTCAAAAATACATATGAAATTCAAGAAAAAGAAATTAGTTGTCCCCAGGTGCTATGAAAACGGAGCAGCAGGCAGCACGGCAGCTATTGGGCCTGTGTTACCCGCTGTGCATGGGCCCACGTGGTTGGGTGCTTGAGGGGGGGTCTGGGTGGCTGTCGGCAGGGGTATTTTTGTAAACCCAGTAAGCACCTGCCTGAACTTTCAGGCTTTAAAGCCTCTTATCAGTCTGTCTCAGTGCTCTCAGCTCACCCCGGTAGGTATCAGTGCCGTCGTCTGGGATACGTACTGTCATCTCCCGGCACCTCCTCGGCCTCCACGTCCTCCTCAGTCAAATCAAGTGACCTCTCTGCTTCAGTAGGGTCCTCCTCTGCAGCATCATCTCCTCTATCATCCTCCCGCTCCACACGCTCCCCTGCTGCCTCCTTGCTCTGCTCCTGGCCCTGCCTGGGTGGCTGCTCTCCCTCATCCTCAAGCTCCAGGCTGTCCCTGGGGCCTCTGGGCTGCTCCTCTTCATCCCCTCGCTGCTGCCGCTCGTCCTCAATGAAGTCTTTGCTGATGTGGTTGTCCAAAGCCTCATCTCTCTGGGCTTCCTCTGTGCCCCTAATCTCATTGCTCTCTGCTTCCTCCCGATCCTCATTCTCTCCAGGGTCAGCATCCCGTGGCCTGGGCTCCCTCTCCTCCAGGCTGTTTTTTCCCTCCTCCCTTGAATCTTCATTTTGCTGGGTTTTCTGTGCTGCCAGCTCAGTCAGGGACCCTGTGGGCTGCTCCTCTTCAGGGTGCTCCCCTGCCGCATCTGCAGAGGGAGGAGCAAGAAGCAACACCTCTCCTGAGAGCTCATTTCACAACCAGCGAAGACTGTGCGTTTCTTAGGGAGCATCAGCCCCACTCAGCAATCTGCTTAACCAGCCCATGGATCCTTTTACAAGCCACTTCAACATATGCTTGCATTCAAGCAAGCCGCTGCTCTCACTGGTGCCTGCTCTCCTGGAGAGACTTGCAAGGCTGAAGTTAAACATATGCCAAAGTGCTTTGCTACGTCACGGTCCTCATCGCCATCTCTTGAGATGCCAGCAACAAGCTTGCCCCGCATGAAACCAGATTGCTCGTAAAATTAAAGGATTTAGGCGTGTTATATGGAAGTTGCACAGCTCCCCCCGCTCTGAGTGCTGCACTGACATCGCATCCTTATTTCTCCCACGGGGTTGAAGAGTGAGCCAGCGCTGTTTGCGTGTAAGCCAGAGGGAGAGGGGGATGGCTCTGCTTCTGCAAAGCAGCTACACAGCAGGAGCTTAATGTGAGCTGGGTATTTGCTCTTTCTCATGCCAGAGACTGGCCTCTTTTAACATAATTAGCCATAGAAATCACTTTGCAAAAGAAAGGTGGGGAGAGGGAGACTAAAGAGCAGTGGGAAAAGCCAGATGGGTATGGAAAGGCAGGCGCAGCCCAAAGCGGGGCTGAGGAGCATGCCAGGGTGAGGGCATGCAGAGAGCCGGTCATGCCGGGCTGCATGCCAGAGGTTCAGGTCTGCCCTGGCAGGAGGGAGAGCCAAAGCTACCTGTCCTCCCTGTTGGCTTTTGGCCGTGCTGGCTGCAGCAGCAGCCCCCGGTGGTATTGCTTCTCGTCACTGTGGGCAGCTTTGGGCTGACGTTGCGGCATCACTGCACTGCCACGGCTCAGCCACATGCCCCAGAGCCCACCTGAGTCCCTCTGCAGGGGTACTGCTGCTGGACAAGGAAACATCTCACCCAATATCGGCACTGGCTCTTCCTGACGTGGAAAAGCAAAGGGGCCAAAGCCTCCTTTCTGCTACACTGCCTCTCTCTAGCCAGGGCATAGAAACATGGTGACAAGGGGAAATCCCAGCTGAACATGGTCTTTCCAGGATGCAAGTGTTTTGTGTGTGTGTACTGTGTGTATCCCAAGTTCAATTTTCCCTTCAGAGACCCATAACTTAATATCTTGGATGCCTGGAAACAAAGGTGGCAGGAGCAGACCCAGATTGCTCTTGCCTATATCACTGAGTCTTTCAGGATGGGATTTCCCTGGCTGTGACTCATTTTAAGCATTAGGAGTGAATGCTGGTGTTGACAGCAGGGTGGAAAAGATCAGTATCAGTCTGGTAACTTGACCATCACCAGTTACTATAGCTCAGAAATTACATGTTGTTTAAGCTGGTAAATAAGACCAAAGCAAACACCGGGTTGCTTGTGCATGGCAGCAGCAGCATCAAAAGAGATGCCTAAATGAGAAGCAGATGGACATATCAAGGCTGTTAGAAAGAACATCCTTGTTTACAGCCTGACCTGGATTTCCCTGGGGGGAGGATGACACTGACCTCTCTGCTTGTTCTTGTCGTTCTGACTTTCAAGGACTTCGGAAAGTTCATCTTCAAAGCCCCCGTTTTTCTTCTGCTGCTGAGTTCTCTCATTGGCACCTGCATCAAGTAAGAAAAAGGAGGGAAAGGCAACAGCTCCTCCTGTGTTTCAGAAAGTAGAGGTAGGTAAATAGTTTTGTGCCTTTATAATTATGTTTTCTACAATGGACAAATATGCCAAAGGGGAGCTGCAAGGAGAAGTGAGACTGGAGGATATGTGGATATGTGGATCAACTGCAGTAACAAAGCCACCATGCAGGAAAGAAAAAGGTCTCTAAACAAACAGAGAAGCAGAGTTGCTAGGAAAACTAATATTGATGGAGAGCTAGGGAATAAGAGATACTGAACTGCAGCATGTTGAGTCCCAGAAAAGACTTAATCATCACAGTATTGAAGGATAAAAATTGCCTCCTGCCAGATGCTGCCCACGTACCTCTGTTGAGTTGAGCACTGAGAGCCCCCGTGCCCTCTGGCCTGGTCGTGGGGGCCCCTCTCCCCAGGGCACTGCCCTCCCACCAGGAGGAAGGAGCCGCATTCTTTCCTGCTCCGGGGATGGTCTGGGGCTCCGAGGCCCCACACCTTAGCCTGTGGGTTTACAGAGCCAGCTCGACCAAAGCAACACAAAGGTGTCTGAAGGCAGCATGAGCTAGAGGTCAGCACACAGCTGTCTTGGCAACTAGTGCTGCCCAGGCAGCCCCATCCCAACGGGATCTGCAAGCCAAGAAAGCTCTGCCTAAACCAGCTCACACCCTCCTTCTGTGCCTTCATGCAAAGGCAAGAGCCAACAATGTCAGCCAAGTCCTCTCTAGCCCTAGAAGGGCAGAGGTGCATGGTGTGGGCTCTCCAGCTTGACCAGGGCCAGCTGCAGCCAGCACAGAGGAGACCAAGATAAACACCTTTGCTTTTCCCTTGGGTTACACAATTCTTCCATCCCCAATCACTGTGATCTGTAGAATAGTGCTCATGTTACCCCAGGACAAATAGGTGTGATGGGCTCAAGCCAAGGAAAGATCGGAGCAAGATGCACCTCTGTGAAACAAGACCCTTCATGTGGATTCCATACTGTATGGCACAGCCTGTCCAATAGCCGAGTGCTCCCCTCCCAACTCAGGATGCCTGGGCAGCAGCATCCCAGTGCACTGAAGATGCCCAGGTTTCTTTCTTCTGGATCATCAGAGCATCCATGGAGCCTGTCTGGGATCATTGCCTGGCTGGCCCTTCCATCAGCAGCATTTGGGCGGCAACCAAACTATTGCTTTGAGAGCTGCACAGAGCCCTAATCTTGACTTCTTGAATTTTCCCTCTCCCTTCTCCCCGTTGCCTCTGGGGCTTCCCTGCTCTGAAAGCAGTCTGGTGGCACTGTCTCCCAGCCATGCTTGGCAGCCATGCCACACAGGAGCAGGGAACAGGGACACCCTGGTAGGGAAGGGCTGCCAGCCGGGTTACCCCAGGGAGAAGGAGTAGGGAAGGCCAGGAGCTGCATTCCTTGCAGCCTGAGGAGAGCTCTGTTGCAGTCTCAACCAGGCCACCTGGGCAGAAGGACCTGCACTGGCTTTGTAGTAGCCTTGCCTAGAACCTGTACAGCAGCTCTGGGGACTGGGGCACCTGAGAATAGCCCTTTTCCACTATGCACACCATTTTGCACAGCTCTGTGCTGCTGCTGCTCCCACACTGACCTGCGATGAGCAGCCTGCACCTCTCCAAACCAAAGAAACTTGCATTTGACCTAAGGAAACCCACAGGAAAATTGCCATTAGCCCAAGGACACTTTCACTGGGGTCTTTTAGGTGCAAGTCCCACTTGATGCTCAGTGAGGCTTAACTTCTGCCACACCTGAGTTTAGTGCTAGACTCCAACTGCAAAAACAGTGGAGGTTTTCTTGTCTTTCATTCTAGTTTGGGAACTGATGATTATTTGTTGAATTAAATTACAATAATTTCCCTTTAGGGTTTTTCCACCCCAAAATGCCTATACTGTGCGTTGCCACTGAGTTACATTGACAGTCATTTAAATCATCAGATGCATACTGGAGTTATAAGCAAAATTCCTGCCTCCACTGACCCAGTCTCTACTGGAAGTCCTGGAACTATATTTCCTAGGGAACATTTATATGATGTTAAATTAATGTCAAATACAAAAAAAAACCCCCAAAAACCCAAACGAAACAAACAACAAAGCTGTGCAAGGGGCTACAATGGATGAAACCTCTCTTCCCAAATAACTATAGTGACACTGTACCTTGAGCAGCAATTTCCTGGAGTTCCTTCAGTAAATTTTGGTGGCGAAGGATAGAAATGATTCGTTCATCTGCAATAGGGGAGACTTGGTACAGAAGGTGGTCAAATACAACCCCCCCCCGCCCAGGAAATGAAAAAGAACCCCAAATGCCACCTCCCACTTCGTTTACTCTTTTCTCTCCCCTGGCCTAATTTGCTGCCACATCTCTTAACTGTGTGGTTAAAAGATGACAGGAAGGTCCATGAAAACCAGGCAGCTTCATGTCACTCAGTGCCTCCCCTGCCATGGTATCAGTGTCATGCATGGCCTGGGCCAAGCAGCAGCTCCATCCCTCGGGCCTGGTGCAGCCCAGTGGGGTGACTGTGAGAAACATGAGTGTGTTGGGGACCCCTTGTCAGATGCTAGAGCATGTGTCAGGGCAGGACCAGCCCCTGCTTGTGTCTCTGCCAGATCTTCTCTTGCTGATATCCAGCATTAAATCTGAGCCTGTACCTCCTCTGAGTGTTTCTAGGCATTCCTCGCTGATCGGCAGGGGGTTTGGCTTTGATAAAGTATCAGAGATGACCTCTACAATGCACTTCATCACCTAGAAAGAGATAAAAATACAAATTAAAGCACTGCTTTTTTGTTCTTTTTTTTGCTAAATCTATTTGTTACCAAGGCTAAAACACAGCAGATGATGGCACAGATCTTGCTATTCTGGTGGAGCCAGAACTGAATGTTTGGTTCCTGTTTTACCTAATGCAGGAACAGAAGGTACCTCGCAAAACTGAGAAGTGAGCAAACGACACATGGCAATGGAAGGAGCTTTTTCAACACAACGCATACTTCAGCTGAGGATCTCACGACTCCAGCCCATCCCAGAGGCTGGGCACATCAGGAGATTAAAGAGGATCTGGATATATACATAAAGAGCTCAAAATCATCGTCTTTTAAGTCAGTATATCTCAACCTGCATCTCATAAAAGGACTCATTGGGAGGTCACAGAGAGCAACAAGTGGTCAAGCTCTTCAATAGGTGACCTTGAAATCTTGCAAGCTAGTTGAGCCCTGAGGAGGACACCCTGGTTAGACTGCAGCCAGGCATGGAAGGTGATGCGAGGCCAATTTTACTTTCAAATATGGATGAGAAATACTGCTCTCAAGCCCTAGAAAAGGACACCCTGGAGAAGTGTTTGACCTTGTGCTTGAGTGTTCAAGCCATCTATTATAGACTGGAAGAGCTCTACATGGATGCAGGTCACTTGAAAGCAAGGAAGCTCCCACACTTTCCTCCAAAGCTTCTGCAATGGCCTGAGGCAGTTTCCTAGACAGGATGGCCTCTGAGCCTACCCTTTCCAGCAGCCCTCTTCTTTGATGTAAAATGAGAAGCATTATTTATCTCGTTTGTCACCTGTACTGAGATTGCAGGCCTAGCTCTTCACCCATGTGCCAACAGCACCACTGACCCCACAGGGATCACCCAGTGCTGTATGTGTGGTAGGAGAATCAAAGCCAGTGGTGCAAAGGCATGGTGGCACCTCTGGCAGAGGTGAAGGCAACCTCGCCACACTGAGACACACTACCAGGACCCAATGGTCACACAAGAGAGAAAGAAACATTCACAACAGTCTGGTGCCAGGAATCAGGCTGCCCAGTTCAAAAGGGTGATTATTTATAAATTAGCCCAGAAAGTATGCAGGGCTCACAAGTGCCTGAGGAAAAAGAGAGGCTGCATTGAAAAAAAGGATACAAGTAAGCCTTTGGGCAAAAAATTCAGTCACTGAACCTCTTTCTCCTGTTGATTTCTGCAGGCAGCCCTAAGAGCCCTGACCTCCCACACAAGGTGCCATTCTTAGGAAAGCAGAGCACTGTGGCTGCAGTAGAAATTAAACACAAGTCAGCAATTCCCAGTCATCTACGATGTTGCTCATTCAAGCAATTGGATATATTCATTGACCAGCTGGAATGGCCAAATTTTCACCATTTGTAAGGAGAGAGTTCTGCTTTTGCAGATCATAGCCATAAAATGCTGAACTCTTAATCACTGACACAGTTTGAGGGGATTGCCAGCTGGATTAAAAATGTTACAGGAAAGATCTAACAAAAAGAAAGCAAGGAAATTTCCCTCATATCATTTTCCTATACCACAAGCAATCCATTAATATTGATTTTAGATGACTTCCAGTCACTTCACTCTGCTATGAGATAGAACAAACCCCAGATTCTGATACTTCGCTCTCACATTTCTCAACCTCTGGAGTCACTTATTGCAGCAGTATTTGATGCAGCTTCAGAAGTAAGGACTTTCTCAGCATGATAAATATGAACCTGGTCCAATTAAATACTCTATACAAGCTTTTTGAAGGCTTCTGATTTAAGGTCTTTGTCTGAACACAAAGAAACACATCAGTCACCACAGAAATGCAGCCAACTCTATGGAGGAACTTTGTAACGTAATGAAATTAAGAATGCAGTCATTCCACAACTCTCTCCTTGACTTTTTGTAAGAGCAAGTCTTGCAGAGTGAGGCTTCACAAGGTCATGAAATAACAGCCTGCATCAGGAAATGAAGGAGATCCTTTCCAAATGAATGTAATTAATCCAGTGCAGAAACTCAGACGGGAATTTTGCCATAGCTATCCTTTAACTGTGAGCGTGTAACTAGATCCTTAAGAGCTGCTTATGCTGTCCCTACACAGAAATCTTCAAAGGATCATGTCCTTACAAGGATAGACTTCCCCATGTCTGAGCTTAGCTATGCTCAGGCCCTTCTGAAATGTGTGCTTGTAGGTGGGAAATAGTGTCCTTCGAGCACAAGAGTGGGCAAACACCAGAGATATTGTAAGTGTGTGCTTTGCGCATGTTCAGCTCCCCATGGAAAGCCCTTGGTGTAAGAAAAGTCTGATAAGCTGCCTGGGAAAGGCCTACAGATGCTGACTACCCATTTCACAGCCCCAAGCCACCCACAAATGCTAGTGGCACAGAGTACATCCTGAGCATCACGATGTGTAGGAAGATCTGCGGTGCTCACTGCTGTATCCATGTGATGATAACCCTGCCCTGATCTGTCCCGTGAAACCAGGATTTCCTTCACTGAAATGCTGTTTCTCAGAGGGCGGTGAAGGTGGAAAAGCCCTAATGGCTCCTTCCATTTGCAGCACAAAATCAAGAGAGGGGTGTGGTCTGATTTTTGGTCTCAGCTAGAGCCTGTGTCAGTGCAGGGAGGGAGCAGGCTTGCAAGTCAATCCTTCCTTGGTGGAGACATTTCCATGGATTTGCACCAGCTTCCACAAAAGCTAAATGTGGCTTGCTGGGAAGTGCCATGTTTTACACATAAAACATATTGAGGAATAGATCTCACACGGAAAATTGTGGAATTAATGGATTGTCCCACCAGATGCCCAGTGACCATCTCACTCTGGCACGGCCAGTTGAAGGAGCAGGTGACTGCCCCAGGTCCCCTTTCTCAGTTAGCAGTAGACGGCCTGAAGCAGGCACCTAGTGGCTCACAGCTCATGGCTCAGCCCCAGCAAGGGCTAAGCAGGCTAAAAGTCTTAACAAAGCAACAGCTCTCCAGGCCCAGGCACATCTGACAGGAGACAGGGAGGCATTTCTCATGGCACTTGCCCTGTCGGTAACAACGAGCAGAGACACTGTACAATGCAGCCTGTGTCTGACACTGACATGAATGTGCTCTCCTCTACAGCTGCCTGGGGAAAAAGATTTTGTGGCTAGAAGATTTCAGGAAACAAAGATGTTCAAGAAGTAGAGGGGAAAGGGCTGGTGTTTCCTTTCTGGACATTAATTTCTGTAAAAGTCTTAATTTGAGCAGTTAAGAGACCAGCTTCTCTGAAGGACTATGGGCATTACAATATTGGGGTGGGTGTCTGTCACAGATCAACACAGGCAAATACGCCTATCCAAGCATTTATGTGACAAAAGCCCACTGGGAGTGCACATGCTTGTGAAGTGCAGCTATGAATGTCAGAGAAGTATGACACAGATGTATGCACGGAACCCTATAAAAGAAGGCTGGAGAGGTCAGCCAAGTCACACACCACTCATAGCCATCCAGACAGGCTGAGCAGTAGCTGAGGACAGATTAACAATCTGAGAGCAGCCAGTTACCTATTTTTTAAGAACATGCATGTTTAAGTAACACATCACACACATGCAAACACAGATGTATGCACACCCCTGAACACACACAGTTCCAGTGACGCCCGTTCCTGAATCACATTTCCCCCCACTCTCCCCTGAGTCACCTCCTGTTGGGAGCTTTGAAAAGATGAAAGTAGGAGGACTGAGGAGAGTTATACCCATCCTCCATCCTCAGCCTCATCATTCTCTAGACAAACTTGTTTGGTCCCTTTGGTACATCCTGAGGGACTTCCCTCCTGCCCAGGTGCCCAGAAGTGGATGCACAATGGGTAAATCCTGGGGTGGGGTGGTGGGGTGGATCCTGCTGTAGGGGTCTCATGCAAATCCCTGCACTTCCTACAGGGCATTTGGGTCGGGGTAGCCAAAAGTCAGCCAGCTAGGTGGAGGTTAAACATCATATCATTCATCTTCATTCACACCTTCCACTACAGGCCCATCCTTACCTTAGTGTCCCCTTTATTCATGTCATTTGTCACGGGAAGGGAGATGCCTGTAAAATGAGGGGAGGGCAAAAAAAGAGAGCTTTTTATTCACCTCCACTGGGAGACAAGCAGTGAAATCTTATCCTGCTG